TTCTTTTTTATCTCTGTATTAAGAGTCTCATTGAGGTCCTGCATGCTTCTCAAGTGCAGTGAATCTTTATGATCCTTACTTTAAATTTACTGTCAGGTATATTACTTATCTCCATTTTGCTTAGGTTTATTGCTGTACTTTTTTTGGTTCTTTCATTTGGTCATATTCCTCTGTGGGCTCATTTTGCCTACCCCTCTGTGTCGGTTTTGTGTGTGATGAAAGTCAGCTGTGTCGCTTTCTCTTGAAAATAGTGGGTGCAGCATAAGCACTTTTAACGAAGCGGTGCTGGTCGTGTTCCACGGGGACCTGCAGCCACGGTAGAGACCAGGGCAGCTGGACCGCTCTGCGGAGTCACTCAGGTCAGGGGTGCCATTGTACCAGGGTGCCCACATCCTCCACAAGAGGTCAGAAGGTGCGGTATCTGCGCCAGTCTTCTCGGGGAAGGGCCCCACGGCGCAGGGACTGAGACAGGCCCGGCCGGGGGGGTGGGGCAGGGCATGGTGTAAGCAAATTAGGTAGCAAATGCCTGCATTGCCCGGGTTCCCACAGTGCTGGGCCCAGGGGAGGGAAACGGCATCTGCCAGCTCCTTTGTTCCTGGAAAAGTACCCCCATGAACTCTGAGATTAATAACTTGTCGACCACTGAGAGTCGGGGACCTGGGGCGGCGAAGGAACTGAGAAAAAGAGACGACAGTATAGCGAGGCACAGGGGACCCCGAGCAAACAGCCCGAGGTGCCAAGGTTTATTTTCCATGCTCTTATATACCTTTTACAGCAGGGGCGTAGTAAGGCACATTCCTCCATGTATACAGGATTAGTCAAGCACTTAAGAATCTTTAAAACAGAATAAAGGAACAAAGAGGGAAGTGCCCAGTGTGCTGTTTACAGGACAAGGGAACAAAGGGGAGTGCACAGTGTGCTGTTTACAGCTGGCTTCCTATCTACAAAACATCTTCTGCTGTACTTTAGAACTGACCACACACGTCCCAAGGGCATTTCACTCTGATCCTTTCGGGTTATTTTTAACCCTGCAATCTCGAGTTTTCTCAGAGATCTTGGAGTCAGAGCGAACACTCACCAGTGGTGGTTGTGGCGTTCTGTTTCCCACAATAACTTACTGTCCCTCGTGTATTACCCAGGCCTTTCTCAAACTGCTGCTTCTAAGCCGTACTTCAGTGGGCAGTCTTTTGTACTGACTCTAATTTAAGGACAGGGACTCAGCTTCATATCACCCTCTGGCCTTTCCCAGCAGTGAGCTTGCTGATTTTTAAAGTTCCAGGCTTCAAGTACTACTGGTTGTAAGAACTCATGAAATTTGGCCCCCTGACTTTCAAAGCCAAACGGTGTGGGGATTCATCATCCCTGTTCAGCCTCCCTGGTGTGATAGTCTGTTTCTTGCCCTTCTGTGCATCTGCAGCTCCCTCCTTCCAGCATCTGTCCTGCAGGGTTTAGCTTCCCACTGCATCTCTGCCCTTCCTGCCCTCTTCAGTGTGGCCTCTTCTCTACATTTAGTTGTGGAGTTTGTTCTGCCAATCATCAGGTCGTTTTCAGGGTTATTTGCACTGATGTGTGACCTAGTTGTATCTATGGGATGAGGTGAGATTAGAATCCTCCTACTCCACCATCTTTCCTGGAAGTCTTCCCTAAGCTGTTACCTTTTTGTTGACAGCTTTTGTAAGGGATAATATGAACTTACTTAGCTAGTAAACTCAGGTAGAATAAAAGTTTTATATTTAATGCTAACTTTAAAGACATGCCTGTTAATTAAACATCAACCTTAAATTAGCTTTCAAATAGAATATTTCCTCAGATAACATAAACTTGAAAAGCATTTGGGTTAGTTTCTCTCTTTCTGAGTGTTACAGAATGGCCTATAGTTTCAAGTGCTTCACTTGAATAGGGCTTTTACAAATTAATTTTAGTGATACCCTCTGGAGGTAGAATATCTCATATACATCCATATACATTTACAGCTGTATACGGACATAGACACAAATGCACGGATCAAAGACCATATAGTTAAAATATTTGTGGAGACAATTTTTAAGATTTGTTTTTGTCCCTGGAATTAATCTTAAAGAGGTTGTACCAAATTTGGGTACAAAAGTCCTTTTTGCAGTTTGTATTTTTTTTTTTTTAAGATTTTGTTTATTTATTTGACAGAGAGAGACACAGCAAGAGAGGGACCACAAGCAGGGGGAGTGGGAGAGGGAGAAGCAGGCTTCCCGCTGAGCAGGGAGCCCGATGTGGGGCTCAATCCCAGGACCCTGGGACCATGACCTGAGCCGAAGGCAGATGCCTAATTACTGAGCCACCCAGGCGCCACCAGCAGTTTGTATTTTTAAAAGGCCTCTTTCCATTTTTATTTCTTTTAATCTCAGGTTTACATTTCAAAGGTATGATAAGAGATGTAACTTCTAGGGACAGAGAAAGAATATAAGTGCTTCCAAGAAGGACTTTGGTTTCCTAAGGCCAATAATTTACAAGCCTTTTGAGATAAACAAGGGAAGTTTTGGAATTGGTAAAGGATTAGGTGAATTTTGAATTGCCTTTAAAGCTGACTTTTGGGGCGCCAGGGTGGCTTAGTCAGTTAAGCGTCTGCCTTTGGCTCAGATCAGGATCCCAGGGTTCTGGGATCAAGCCCTGCATCAGGCTCCTTGCTCAGGGGGGAGCCTGCTTCTCCCTCTCCCTTTACCCCTCTCCCCTGCTCGTGCTCTCTCTCACTCGCTGTCTGTCTGTCTCTCAAATAAATAAATAAAATCTTTAAAAAAAATAAAGTTGACTTTGGAAGTGCAAAGGATTTGTAAGGATAGTTGCTCTCAGTTGAGAGAATTGGGTTGTAACTTAAATCAACATTATAGGTTGGTCCACCTATCCAACTATATTATCCTCAATTTGCTTCTTTCTTTATGGGTAGATCTAATTTTAAATATTTGTGGCAGTATGCATAATCTGCCTTGGGTCTAAGATGGGTCCTCAAAGAGCATGTAAAGGATATTACCTTCCCAAAATCCAGAGTTACTCCCAAAGATAGCCAAGCGTAAGAACCAACAACCTGCACATCCCAGACAGGCAGAAAGCCAAGCCCAGTCACACACAACTAGATAAGAAGGCAGCAGCTATCCCTGGGAGACAAAGGATCAATATAGTGGATTTGGATTTGGAAAGGAAGAGACAATGTGAAATTTTATTTTCCTTTGAACTTACAGATAGTGATTCAGAAGAACTGATTCTGGTAAGAATTTTCTTTACTGGCTCCTGCCAGTTTTTCTAGGATCCACTCTGCAGGCTCTGATATCTACCAGAGTTTTCCCTTGGCTGTTTAAAGGAAAATGTGGAAGTTTACCAGAAAATCCCTCAGTTTTGTCAACTCGGGGAGGGGCCCTCCTTTGAAGGTGGTATGGGGGTGCCTGTAAGGCCATTAACTTGGCAGACTTTTGTTTATGGTTATGTAGTCTTCAGAGTGGATAAACAATTCAGAAGATTAGTAGAATGAGTACTCAAAGGAGGATAGAGAGGAGCAGTAGTTATGTCTTATAATCTTTTGTTGTAGATACCTCTTACATATTTAATTTTTCTCCAACCTTCTTCAGCCTAATCTTTTAATGACACTATTTTGGAATTTTTAAACCTTTTGGAGGCTTCTCTTTGTCAATTCTGTTTAATTTGGGAAGCCTTGCTTTCAAGTGCACTTACATGATCTTACCCAATTGGATTGTTCCCCGTCATGACCTTGGTATTTCTACATTTTATTTCTCATGAGGGCTGACAGCAGTTCAGTAGGACCCTAACCACAAATGGAATTAACCCACATTTCTGCCCAGCCATGTCTAGTTGCAAATGGGGTACAACTCACATTTCTGTCCAGCCTTAGCCTGGGGCCCCCAACTTGATGGTTACCAAGCCAAATTCTTTTTTTTTTTTTTTTTTTAAAGATTTTATTTATTTATTTGAGAGAGAGAGAATGAGAGATAGAGAGCACAAGAGGGAAGAGGGTCAGAGGGAGAAGCAGGCTCCCCGCTGAGCAGGCAGCCCGATGCGGGACTCGATCCCGGGACTCCAGGATCATGACCTGAGCCGAAGGCAGTCGCTTAACCAACTGAGCCACCCAGGCGCCCACCAAGCCAAATTCTTTAGGACACAAAACAAGCAGGTAGATTTTTATAGCTTCCAGGACTATAGATCTTAGATATAAAATAAGCAAGTGTCTGGGGCGCCTGGATGACTCAGTCGGTTAAGTCATCTGCCTTCGGTTCAGGTCATGATCCCCAGGTCCTGGGATCGAGCCCTACATCAGTCTCTCCACTCAGCAGGGAGCCTGCTTCTCCTTCTCCCTCTGCCTGTTGCTCTCCCTGCTTGTGTTCTCTCTCTCTCTCTGTCAAATAAATAAATAAAATCTTATAAGCAAGTGTGCCAGAAGGTGGAATGCTTAACTCTTTGGAGTTTAAAGATCCCATTAACTAAGCCTTTATTTCCATAAACAAGACAAACCAGTGTGCATGTAACCAACATTGCACCGTTACCAACAGTAACCAAGAGATGTCATTGTGGGCTGACCAAGAGAGAGTTGTGTGTAGCACCAGGAATTTCCAGTGTGGACTAAACCAGCAGACTCCATTAATGGAGACTGCATATTAGAAATGGAGAAAGGTAGTAAATGGGGACTGTGGACTGGAACTGGGGAAGGGATTCCAACATGGAATTGCAGACTGAACCAAGGGCTAAGAAATAGTGCTGTTAGAGCCTCCTGTCAGTCTAGACCGACCTGTTCAACCTGGACTAAAAGCCAATTAGATCGGTAGCTCAAACGCAAAAAGAGCAGAGCTCAAACTAAGAGGGGACTTACCAGCAGGCTTTGGAAACCTCAGGACAGTGAATTTAGAAGGGTTCAAGGGCTGCCACACCTGTGTTCCTCATTTTCCCCAAATGCCAGTAGTTCTCTTTGAACTCTACTGCTGCCACCAGATGTGTTAAAAAAAAAAAAACAAAATTCAAACAAGTAAACCTGAAAATTTAATTGGCTTTGTTGAACAATTCATGAATCAGGCAGCATTCCATCTAGCAAGTAAAGGGGAGCTCTGCTGAGCTAAACAAAACAACAGAAGTTTTTAAAGGTAGAGAGAGTGAACTAAAAAAGAAGAGAAAGGAATTTATTAATTCCTTTAATAATTCTTAACTAATAATTTGTTAAGCAGTTCATGCAAGGAATACATTGTTTATGTAAGGTGCTCTCCTAAGGGGTGAAGAAGCGGTATATCAGTAAATTTCCTAGTCTTAGCCAGGAAGTTCCATGTTGACTGGTTAAAGTTTACATTGCTGAGGGTTGAAACTGCAGTTTGGTTAGGTACTAAGTCTTAGTTTACTGACCACAGGCCTTAACCTAACTGACGCCTATTTGGGCCTGTGGTTTTCTTTTTAACAATCTGAAAATGCTACCTCCCTGAATTTTGTTAATTCAGGTTTGTGAATAGTGAATGTGCTCTATTGCATTGCTGAGATACAGCAAAAGGATGTTCATAAGTTTACAGGAGTTATTTCAGTCACAGATATCCTTGGTGGTCCATTCATTTTGAAGGTCTTTTTGCTCACAGTGTTCTTAACAGAAAGAAAACTTGCCTCCAACTATTGAATCTGTTAAGTGGAAATAGCTTCTGATATGTTTCTGATGACGGGATTAATGCATGTTTGTTGCGAGATATGCAAATTTTAAGGAACCTGTAAAGAACAAACATAGTAATTAGCCATACAGAAATAATCACTCTTGATAATTCAGTGTACCTTATTTTAAACTTTTTCTCTCTGGATGTGTGGTTTTGTTTAGTTTTGGAGATATAACTGACATAGTACATATATTAATTTCAGGTGAATGTAATGATTCAATATTTGTATATACTGTGAAATGACCACTACTGTAAATCTAGATTAAATCTAGAATGACACAATAAATCTAAATTTTAAGATATACACTCTAAGCAACTTCCAAGTAGACAATACAGTATTATTAACTATAGTCACCGTGCTCTACATGACATCCCCATGATTTATTTATTTTATAACTAGAAGTGTGTACCTTTTGAACATCTTTACCTCTTTTGTCTACCTCTCACTCCCTGCCTCTAGAAGCCACCCATTTGTTCTCTGTATCTATTAGTTTGTGTTTTTTGTTTTTGTTTTTAAGATTTCACATATCAGTGAGATCATACGGCATTTGTCTTTTCCTAACTTATTTCACTTCCCATAATGCCCTCCGGGTCCATCCATGTTTCACAAATGGCAAGACTTTCTTCCTTTTTATAGCCAAATAATATTATATTCTATTATATATATTTGTGTTTGTGTGTCCCACATTTTCTTTATCCATTCATTCATCTGTTGATGGACAATTAGGTTGTTTCCATGTCTTGGCTATTGTAAATAATGCTGCATGAACATGGGGGTGTATATATATATATATATAGATATATAGATATATAGATATATCTTTCAAGTTTCCTTCAGATAAATATCCAGAAGAGAAATTGCTGGATCCTATGGTAGTTCTATTCTTAACTTTTTGAGGAACCTCCATACTGTTTTCCATAGTGGCTGCACCACCAATTTACATTTCCATTAGCAGTGCACAAGGAAAGGTTTCCTTTTCTCTTCATCCTTCCCAACACTTTTATTTCTTGTCTTTTGGATAGTAGCCATTCTAAGAGGTGTGAAGTGATATGTCATTGTGGTTTTGATTTGCATTTCTCTGATGATTAGTGGTGTTGAACAACTTTTCATGCACCTATTGGCCATCTGCATGTCTTCTTTGGAAAATGTCTGCTCAGACTCTACCCATTTTTAATCAGATTGTTTTTTTGGCTGTTGAGTTGTAGTTCTTTATATATTTTAGATATTAACCCCTTATCAGATATATGATGTGCAAATATTTTTTCCCATTCAGTAGGTTACCTTTTCATTTTGTTGATGGTTTCCTTCGCTATGCAGAGGCATTTTAATTTGCTGTAGTCCCTCGTTTATTTTTGTTTTTGTTGCTTTGCTTTTGGTGTCAGATCCAAAAAATCATGGCCCAAACCAATGTCAAGGAGATTACCCTCTATGTTTTCTTTTAGGAACTTTATGGTTTCAAGTGTTTTGTTCAGTTCCTTAATCCATTTTGAGTTGATTTTTGTATATGGTGTAAAATATGTTCCAGTTTCATTCTTTTGCATGTGGTTGTCCAGTTTTCCCAATACCATGTCTTAAGGAGACTGTCTTTGCCCCACTGTATATTCTTGGCTCCTTTGTCATAAATTAATTGACCATATATATGTGAGGTTTTTTTCTGGGCTCTGTTCTATTCCATTGACCAATGTGTCTCTTTTTATGTCACCATCATACTGTTTTGATTACTGTAACTTTGTAATACAGTTTAAAATAAAAAAACATGATGCCTCTAGCTTTGTTTCTCAGGATTCCTTTGGCTTCAAGGTCTTTTGTGGTTCCATACATTTTTTAAGGATTGTTTGTTGTATTTTTGTGGAAAATGTCATTGGAATTTTGATAGGGATGCATTGAATCTATCTTTTGTGGTAGTCTAGATATTTTAGTTTAAATATTTTATTTATTTGTCAGAGAGAGCACAAGCAGGGGGAGCGGCGGGCGGAGGGAGGAGGTGGCTCCAGGAGCCCTATACGGGACTTGATACCAGGATCCTGGGATCATGACCTGAGCCAAAGGCAGCCGCTTAACTGATTGAGCCATCCAGGCATCCCTGTAGTCTAGATATTTTAACACTATTAATTTTTCTGGGGCACCTGAGTGGCTCAGTCAGTTAAGCATCTGCCTTCAGCTCAGGTCATGATCTCAGGGTCCTGGGATCAAGCCCTGCATTGGGCTCTCCACTCAGCAGGGAATCTGCTTCTCCCTCTCACTCTCCCTCTGTGCTCTCTCTCAAATAAAATATAAAAAAACCCCAAACAACTCAAAACAGTATTAATTCTTCCAGTCCATGAGCATGGATTACCTTTCCATTTATGTCTTTCTCAGTTTCTTTCATCAATGTCTTACAGTTTTCAGTGTACAGTTCCTTTGCCTTTTCAGCTAAATTTATTCCTAGGTATTTTATTATTTTGATGCAATTGTAATAGGGTTGTTTTTAAAAATTTCTTTTTGATCATTATTAGCATACAGAAATGCAACCGATTTATGTATATTAATTTTGTATTCTGCACCTTTACTGAATTTATTAATTCGAAGAGTTTTGTTTTGTTTTTGGTGTAGTCTTTAGTGTTTTCTATAGATAATAGCATGTCTCTGCAAATAGTGACAGTTTGATGTCTTTCTTTCTGATTTGGATGCCTTTAATTTTTTTTCTTACCTAATTGCTCTGGCTAGAACTTCTAATACTGAATAAAAGTGGTAAGAGTGGGCATCCTTTCTTGTTCCTGATCTTGGAGGAAAAGCTTTCAGATTTTCACCATTGAGTATGATCTTAGCTATGTGTTTGTCTTATATGACATATATTATATTGAGGTATGTTCCCTCAGTACCCACTTTGTTGCATTTTTAACAAATCGATGTTAAGTTTTGTCATATGCTTTTTCTGCATCTATTGAGATGATGATCATGTGGCTTTTATCCTTAATTTTTTATCCTTTTACCCTTCATTTTGTTAATCCTTCATTGTTTGTCAATTGATTAATTTGTAGATATGGAAGCATCCTAGTATCCTTGGAATAAATCACACTTGATCATGGTATATGATCCTTTTAATATATTGTTGAATTCATTTTGCTATTTTGTTGAGGGTATCTGCAGCTGGGGTGTTTTTTTATTTTGTTCTGCCAACAGGAAATTTGGCACATGAATTTGCCACATAAAAGAGACAAAGTTACAGTTTTATCATACTTCTAGGCATGTAGTTATAAGTAGATAGTGGCAGTGGTCACCATGTGATTTGACACATCTAAGTATTCAAAACTTTTGGAATTTCAATTACCAGGGGAACAAATTATGAATTAAGACTGCTATTCAGAATTCCATATTTTTTAGAGATGGTTTCTTTCATAGGACATAGGAATGATCTGGGAGATCCAAGTGTCATACATACATCATTATATACATTATACTTGAAAAGACAGATTGATAGAAACAGAAATAAGTATGCAGTAACTCCTGTGTTGGACACAGAAACAAGATTGAGCCTTTTATTATTATGCTCAAGTTGTCACTTATTAGATCAGATTCTTTGAGCTAGTTATATGTGTGCAGCTTTATGTGGAGGGCAAGAATATATGTCTTCCTTTGCTTTTTGAGAATCTTTGTGACAAATATTATTCATGAGGAAGAACTGAAATCTGAAGATTGGACACTGAAATGAGTTAACATGATATGGAAGCACAGACTTAAGAATCTTGAATTTTACTGTAAGAAAAAGGAGAAGCACAAAGGGAATTTTAAAAAATAATAATGAGGGTGCCTGGGTGGCTCAGTTGGTTAAGTGACTGCCTTCGGCTCAGGTCATGGTCCTGGAGTCCCAGGATCAAGTCCCACGTCAGGCTCCCTGCTCAGCGGGAAGTCTGCTTCTCCCTCTGACCCTCCCCCCTCTCGTGCTCTCTCTCTTTCAAATAAATAAAATCTTTAAAATTATAATAAAACAAGGGACATGAAATAGTCTTTACAAGTTCATTAATTAATAGGCAACTTATACTTGGTGTAATTAGGTGTTTATTAGAGGCCACTGAAAGTGCTTCATGTTTTATTTCATTTGATACATACAGGAACACTTTCAGGTAGGTCACTGTTGCTTTTCCCATTTTGCTGATGAGGAAATAAAGTCAGTTAAGTAATGTAGAAAAAAATTACACAATAACAACCAAAGATAAAGTTAACAACCTGAATTTTGGATGATGGATCGTATGTTCTTTATTATGACAGGATCCAACCTCTAATCACTTTTTAAATCTGATTGTCTCACTAATTCATCAAAAAATGTTTTTCATCAACATTTAATATGGATCAATGTCAAATATTGCAGATATTGATAACATATAGCTCACCATACTTTTTTTAGCCTATCGCCTACTTTTAGATATTTAGAATTATCATAAACTACTTTGTAATACATAGAGATCTTTATAACAGAATTTTATCTGTTAAGAATTTCTAGAAGTTGCATTTATAAGTCAAACATCAGATATTTATTAAGTGCCTACAGTATGCCAATATTGTTATGTAACTTGGGGTACTAGCATTAAAGAGACATAGTTTCTATCCCTTAACTTGTTTATAATTGATCATGTAAATATAAACTATGAGTAGGACTAAAACTATGGTAGGGTATGGTAAGGACTATTTAAAAAATGAGACAATGCACCCTTGTAGTTGTGAAGGGGAGATATCATAGAGACAAATCCAAAGCTATAAGGTTTTGACCAGTTTACACTAAAGCCATGGTTTGTCAGAGTTCCCCAAAAGACATCTTTAAGTTTGATGATGTGCTAGGACTTACAGAATTAGGAAAAAGGGTGGTTATGAAAGGATATAGTTTAATATTAGTGAGGAGAAAAATCACATAGGCTGAAGAGCAGGAAAAACCAGATGTGAGCTTCCAGTGGAGTCACACAGTCAGTGCTTAATTCTTCCAGCAACAATCTGTAAGAACACATGTGAAGTGAGCTTTATTGAGTTTTATTGAGGGTCAGTAACATAGGCAGGGAACAACTATGTGGTTTACTTTAGCT